AGACCACCGTGGGAAACCTGGAAGAACTGCACGGCCTTTTCGTCCTTTCGTGGGACTCCTCAGTAGTGCGCATCCACGACCTCGCGTCTTGCGGGGTTCGAACACAGGACCTACTAGTGTCGCGCGCGAGCACTTAACCACTAGACCACTGAGCCAATTCTCATCCAACAATTTTAATGTCCCACTTCAAATTCTTAAAGCAAGATCATGGATGTGCACTACTAAGAAGTTTCATACTAGAACTAGATAGCTATCCAAAACCTCCAAGTTTTCAATAATCATTTAACATCAATCAATTCATGATCTCAATCGATTTATTGATTAATTACAATATGAATACAATGACACTGATAAAATAGACTTGTTACTATGATACTATTTTCTTTCTTTCTTTCTTTCTTAAAGAAAAAAGATGTTACAAACTTGATTAGATACATAGTTTGAGTAATTGTAAGTATCAATCAATAAATGGTATAGTGAATTTAAGCAAAAATGAGTATAGAATGTTTCTTTTTTCTGATATAAATGATGTAGATAGATACAATAATGTACATTGATAAAAGAATGGAATGTCATGGCTTCAGGTTAAAATTAATGAAAGTATGACAACAACCACCACCATCAGCAGCAGCACCACCACCACCACCACCACAGCAATCACAACCATAACAACAAGCACTGATATGGATATACATATAAATATACATACACAAAGAAATTATGTATAATCCAATAGTTACATTTATTTAAATATAAAGAATATAATGAAATACCTTTTAATGTTTATCGTATAGAACATATAAGCGAAATAATAATCATAACCATTGAAGAAGAAGAAGATGATGATGATAATGATGATCTAAGTTATACTTGTCAAATGAATACTCAACATAGAAAAAAGAAGAAAAGAAAAGGTACAAAAAATACACTGAGGAATTAAATGAAAGTTATCAGTTTAGGTGTTATGGAGATTGTTAAGTTTTTGATTGAAATCATGAGTCGGTTGAAGCTAGACCACTATGGATAACCTGGAAACACTGGATGGCCTTTTCGTTCCAGTATGGGACTCCTCAGCAGTGCGCATCTAAGACCCTGCACCCCGCGAGATTCAAACCCAGGACCTATCAGTCTCGCGCCAAGCGCTTAATCAACAAGATCAATGAGCCGGGATCCAGTGGTGTTAATGTCTAACCTCAATCAATCCACGAAATTGCGCTACCGTCTTCCATTGTACTGAGGTAGACACCTGTTTCTACCCGCCACTGGTCATGGCACTGCTGAGGAGTCCCATACTAGGACGAAACGGCCGTCCAGTGCTTCCAGGTTTTCCATGGTGGTCTAGCTTGAATTCACCCATGATTTCAATCAACAACAAAAAGAAAGTTATTTAGACTGAGTGTTTATTAAGAAACAAATACATCATTATCATAACAATTTATATATAACCCTGATAGTTTAAGTTGCCATTTGTCTTATTCTTATGAATCTATCTGTAAAACTTATTGATTCTTTAAGTGATGTTATTTGATATGAAGATAAAACAATCTCATTACGAAACATTTCAGTGATTATATACATGAATTCAACTACAATCATTACAAATTATCACTCTGATTATGTGTTCATTAGTGTGACTAGATTCAAAATGGATTCCCTAAAATTCTATTGAGAAGTCATGATCAATAAAGTTAAACCGTGTCTGTTGTGACGCCGTTACTCACTGAAGATAATGGTGAACGGTGGAGTAATATAATAAATTGTTTGAAGTTAAACATTAACACGGTTGGATACCGGTTCAGTAATCTAGAGATTAAGCGTTCACACACGAGACTGAAGGTCCTGGGTTCGAGTCTCTGTAATGTGAGATCATTGAAAAGTTCGATACTAGAACGAGATAGCCGTCCATTACTTTCAGGTTTTCAATGGCTGTTTAGCTTAGATCGATTCATGAATTCAACTATTAGAATATATATTTGCATATATATATATCTATCAATTACAAGCCGATAGTGATTATCAGATAACCTTACTTACTTACTTACGCCTGTTACTCCTAATGGAGCATAGGCCGCCGACCAGCATTCTCCAACCCCCTTTGTCCTCGGCCTTATTTTCTAGTTCCATCCAATTTTTGTTCATTCTTCTCATGTCTATTTCCATTTCCCGGCGAAATGTGTTCTTTGATCTTCCTTTTTTCCTTTGGCCTTGGGGATTCCATGTGAGGGCTTGCCTCGTGACACAGTTGGGTGCTTCCCTCCATGTGTGTCCTATCCACTTCCAGCACTTTTTCCTTATTTATTCCTCCACTAGGATCTGGTTTGTTCTCTCCTATAGTAGTAGGTTGTTGCTGATAGTGTGTGGCCAACGGATCCGAAATATCAGATAACCATTTTACTATTATTATAGATCGATTCCAACATTGTTATTAATACTCATTGTAAAATATGAATGTGATCTATGCATAATCAATATTGAATTACGTTTAATATTTATGATAATGAAGAGGTTCAAATAAAAATCAATAATGTAGTTATTATGTAATTGAAATCATTTGATGAATCAATCTATTCTGTTGTTGAATTAATTAATCAATTAGTCATCAATCAAAACCAATTTTGATCTCTTTTGTTATTTAATTGAAATTATAAATTACCATAATAAATTGTATTTATTCTAAATCTTGGAAAGAGACAATACAAAATGATGATCAGTTTTCATAATTCATATATTTACTTGGTATTGTTTTGTACTTGTATCTTCCCATTGAAGTTTAAGACTGTAATTGATCAGTCTGTTAGTAGCATACTGTGCATACTGTGCATATGCCTCAATATTGCCTTAATTCACAAGCTTTTTGTAAGCAATGAGGGATAGTGACTATCAGTGGAATCCAGTTTGACACGCCTTTCGTTCTATTTGGGACCCATCAGCTGGATGTACCTACATCTTAGAGTTGTTGATGTTCACTTTGGGACTCGAACCCAGCACACGCCAGTAACAGACTGATCGATTGCAGTCTTAAACCTCAATGGGAAAATACAAGCTATATAATACCAAGTGGATTTAAATTCACCCCATTGCACAATCAAGTGGCTATCAGGACTCAGTAGCTGAGTGGATAACGTGATGGCGTTTGAAGCTGAATGGTACTGGGTTCGAGTCCCGGAGTGGAGATCAACAAGTCTGAGGTGCAGGTCTATCCAGTTGACGAGTACCAAACAGAACGAAACGCGCGTCCTGGATTCCACTGCTAGCCACTACCCATCATTCATATACTTAGTTTATTTAACTATATTATTTTGGATTTTCATATGATATTAAGTATAACAATGGAGTAAAGTAACATTCTTCAATACAATACAACATGCATCAATTAAATCACACTTAATGGAGAAAGTTTAGAGGATATAAAAACTTTTACATATCTCTTTCTTCTGATGGTCGATTGGATCATGAAGACGTCGACACCTTCGAGGGGAAGCATGGGATACAGTGGATATCTAGGATGCAGCTTGACGATCTAGACTTCGCAGATGATCTGTCACTCCTATCGCAATCACAACAACAAATGCAGGAGAAAACGACCAGGGTAGTAGCAGCCTACCAATATCAAAGTGAGAATCTTCAATACGATCATCAAGGCAGTTCTACTGTATGGAGCTGAAACTTGGAGGACTACAACTACTACCATCAAGAAGGTACAAGTATTTATAAATAGCTGTCTTCGCAAGATACTCAACATCCATTGGCCAGATACCATCAGTAACAGCCTACTGCGGGAGTGGACAAAGCAACTTCCAGCTGAAGAATAAATTAGGAAAAGACGATGGAAATGGATAGGACATACATTACTCAAATCATCAAACTGCACCACGAGGGGGGGGGGGCTATGCTCCTTCACGAGGAGTAACAGGCGTAAGTAAAGTAAGTAAAAAAAGTAAGTAGCAGCCACAGCAGCAGTAGGTCTCAATATACACAAAGGGAAAAGCAAGACTCTCCGATACAGCACAACATGCACCAATCCAATCATACTTGACGGAAAAGATTTGGGAGATGTAAATTCCGTTATATATCTGAGCAGCATTATTGATGAGCACGATGGATCTGATGCATTTATGAAGGCACAAATCGACAAAGAAAGTGTAGCATTTCTACAATTGAAGAATATATGCAAATCAGAACAAGTGTCAACCAACATCAAACTCAAAATTTTCAATAGAGATATCAAGATAATTCTACTGTATGGGGTGGAAACTTGCAGAATTACGAAAGCTATGATCCAGTAGATACGAGTGTTTATTAACAGTTGTCTACGTAAAATACTTCAGATCTGTTAACCAAACATTATCAGCAACAATCTACTTTACGAGACAGAACAAACCAGATCCCAGCGGAAGTAGAAATCAAGAAGAAGCACTGGAAGTGGATAGGACACATATTGAGGAAATCACTCAACTGCGTCATAAGGTAAGCCCTCATTTGAAATCTTTAAGGCCAAAGAAGAATAGGAAGACCAAAGAACACACACACACTACATCGAGAATTGAATGCAAACATGAGAAAGATGAATAGCAACTGAGAAGAACTCTAAGTGATTACTCAGAATAGAGTTTGATAGAGAATACTTGTTGAAGGAATCTATACTCCTCTATGAATGAGTGATAGGTGTAAGTAAGTAAATAGTATTAAAGAAGGAAAAATTACATTCCATTAATTTCAACCATCAGTATAACTAGTATAATCACATATAATTTCTTAAATAAAATTACTTGTTTTAGACAATGACATTTCTATTTTTAGTTATATAACAAATCACACCTTAATCGAGATGGGAAATATGGGATCAATTCATGTGTAGGCAAGTGTTTGATTGAAATAAATTTGATTGGTTCATTTACAATAGGGGGGTGGATATAAATTAAATTTAATATTTATATATATATATATATATATATATATATAGATAGATGACAATGATAAAATCTACTTCATTATGATTTGTTAAATGAATATGAAAGAGTATTTCTTTCAATGAAGAATGTACTTAGTTACTTACCTACCTACTTACTTACGTTTGTTATCCCTCATGGAGGAGTATGGGTCGTTCATGAACATTCTCCCATATGAATGTAGGATCTATAAAATAAATAAATCATTAAAACAAATTGAATTTACATTAATATTAAACATTGACTATTATAAAGTGTTTATATATTACTTATATACTACTACTATTACCACTACGACTACTACTACGACTAATAATAGTAATAATACATTATAATATATAACAGGGAACTATTCATTTCACATAGAAACTATATTCACATATTATTGATGATTTAATTCATGAATATAACAAATCAATATGTTACAAACAATAAGATCAAATAATATAACCCCTAATATAAATTTCCCAATATGTTGTCTTCAAGTTGTCGATCACCATGGTAACAGTAATAATAATAATAATGATAATAATATGACTATTAATATGATGAATATACCATTGAACAATATAAAGAAACAAACACTTAATAATGAAACTATTGAATCGATGTATGAAAAAGCAAATGATTTATTAAATAAAATGAAAAAACGTAGAAAAGTTTTAAAAAATAAACAAACAAAAATACAAAATCATGATCATGATTGTAACCATGTTAGTACTGCTACTACACCTAATACGATTACTACTTATTGGCTTGAAAATAATGAAAAATTATTTCATAAAAATAGATATGGTGAGTAATAGTAAGTAAGTAGTGGCAATATTGTTATTATTATTACTATTATTACTATAATAATCAGTATTATTAGTAATAGTGGTACTGGTGGTAGTACTCATAGTAGTAGTAATAGTCGTAGTCGTAGTAGTAGTAGAAATGTATGAGTGGTAATGTAATGGCCAAACCAAAACGTAGCATCAGTGATTGAAGTCACTGATTTCTAGTCTGAATCATTTTGGTGCTAGATGCAGATTATTTGATTGGGGTCCGCGTGACTATCGTAGCCAATGGTTGAAGACTCTGAATCGATCACAACAGCGTAGGTGATGTATACACTCTCTGACTACCCTTAAACTATGAGATTAAAATTGTTTTATACCGTTCCTTTTATCAACTAATAATTTTATTCCTGTATTATATTCTTATGCACAATCTTCCTTTCATATGTTACTACTATTGAAGAAACTACTTCTATGAAATCGGTGTTCATGATATTGTGCTAATGAGGTATGGGAACTTGGAGCGATGTATATATGTGCCTGGTCCTAGGTTGTAGCTGACTGAATAATTGACTTATGAATTCACTTAGTATTGTTTACTTGAAACTTCCTATTGTTGTTTAGGACTGAAATTGATCGGTCTCTTATTGTCATATGTGCAAACTATGCATATTTTCTTGATATTGGCTTAATTCACAAGCATTATAAGCAAAGATGAACAGTGGCCATTAGTGGAATCCAGGACTCACATTTCATCCTAGTTGACACTTGTCAACTGCATGTGCCTGCATTTCAGATTTGTTAACGTTCACTGAGCCATATGCCCATCATTCTCTTCAGTGAGTTACTACCTCACAACTAACCCGGTTAAACTCCACTGGTCACTGCTTCTCACTAGAACTTCAGGAAATACCACTTGATGTCAGTCACTTGTGAACACAAGATGATTATTATTAGAAAAAGCGTTTTGTGAAGGATGTAGAAATTTGTTCGTTAAATTCACCGTTGCGTACCTGCTCAGTGGTATAGAGGTTAAGCGTTAGCGCGCGAGTCCGGATTTCCTGGGTTCGAATCCCACGGGCAGGATCGTGAAAGAACACTGTTGAGGGAGATCATACTGGGATGAGACGACCATCTAGTACTTCCAGGCTTTTCATGGTGGTCTAGCTTAGACTGACTCATGATTAACTATTAAATTAATACAATCTCTACAAAACTCCCTTTCTGGAAATACTTCATTTGTAAAATATCCATCAATTATCTCAAACTTTTTTGTTCCTTCGTTTCCATACCGATCACTCTCTGGTCTTGTTCTCTTTCCCTCGTTCTCCTCAACCCTTCTGCCTCCAAACATTTCACTTTCTATTGATGAAACATCAGTAGCACTAACCATAGAACCACTGATGTCATCGTTACTTCAACTACTTCATAACTTGCTATGATCATTTCGTCTAACTTTTTTTTCAAATACAATGTATATATGTTCCAGTTTATGTTGAATTTATGATTGACTGATTAAAATTTGAAGGCTCTAGGTTTCAATTCTAAATGTGTATTGTACAAATGCACTACGAATAATTTCAAAATTACAATACTCCCCCCCTGTTCAAGTACTTTTTCCAGAGTTTCATTTTACTCATAAGAATAAACATTCAAAGAACAAATTGATTTTTTTGATATCTTAGAGATAAACCATTGATCTTATGGTGAAACAAATCAATATTTATATTATATTAAGATAATATTACCTGTTAGTTATAGTTATATAATATACCCTTGTGGGCCAGGGTAATTTTAGATGGGTTTTCAGGAGAACTAGACACCATCCAGACTCTCACGTGACAACACAAACAGTACACCTCAACCCCGTTTAACAGAAGAGCCAAACACCGCCCTGGCTTAAATTTTATAACCCGAGCAGTCCAGCTCAATCCCACTTCAGCGGAGAACCAGACACCGTATAGGCTTTAACGTTACACTCTGAATAGTACAGTTCAATTCTGTGGTGCAACCACACAGGTACCAAACACCCTGGTGGACCAACTACCTGATCTACCTAACAATATAAACAAGTTGATATAGGAGATTTAATAGTCATAGAATATTGTATTAACACTGAGATTATAATTTATGGACGATCTTTGAGTGACGCTAAATTGACCTTGAGACTGTTCACTTAATAACAGGGATCAAATAAGGATTATAAATCAGTGTGAAGATTTAGAATTATGATTGAGGTTTGAAATTAGATTTAGAGTTTCCCATCACAAACTGATATCAGCTATAATGCCAAAAATCTATATATCCAAATGGATGAATAAATGAATTTCGTGCGAAAATCCAAGACTTGTTCTCTCAAATCTAATTGATTCATCTATAAATTATAGTGTTGACGTATGAACTCAAAGATCTAAGAACTTCATGAAAGATCCAAATCGTTAATTATTGAGATGATTAAACTTTGAATAAACTATTTATCATGTACCATTCAATTATTATGTGCTTGACAATGAACATCACTTATTTTTATGTTCTATGTCATGGATTGTAATTTGTAATGATGATGTAAAGAAAAAAAAAGTTGATTGATGACCAAATCTCATGATTCCAAAACAAAATAGATCTATTTTGAAAGATGTCACGTACAAAATGATCTGATAGATATGGTTCAATTAAGTTATATTACTGTGAATAAAATGGTACTATCTAATATATATTAAGACAATTCATTTGATATTGTTGTTTACTTGAATTTTCCCATTGATGTTTTGCATTGAAATTGGTCAGTTTCTTATTGGCATATGTATATCCTGTACGGATTGATTTGAGATTCCTTTAAATCACAAGCATTATAAACAATGATGGATAGCGACTAGTAGTGGAATCCAGTTTGACGAGCATTTCGTCCTACTTGGGACTCGTCAACCGGATTTACCTGTATCGACCGTTTCATTCTATTGTGGGACTACTCAGCATTGCACATCCACGATTCCACTCGCGGGATTCGAACCCAGGGCCTGTGTCGGGTAGAAAAAGGTATCTACCTCAGTAAAATGCAAGATGGTCGCGCAGTTTCGTGGATTGCTTGAAGTTAGACATTAACACCATCGAATGCTGACCCACTCAGTAGTCTAGAGGTTAAGCGTTCGCATACGAGACCAACAGGTCGTGGGTTCGACTCCCAAAGGTTCGTGATTGTGGTTGAGCACTGTTCGGGAGTTCCATACTAGGACGAAACGACTGTTCAATACTTTCAGGTTTTCAATGCTGGTCTAACATCAATCGGTTCATGATCTCAATCAAAAACTTAATCATCTCCACAACCCTATACTGATAAAAAGTTTATTTTTTTAAAGAAAAATCAAGAAATGGTATCAGATAGTGAATTTTTAAAAAATGAAATAACTAGTTTTATCTCTGTTTGAAATTGTCTTTTATCAGGGTACATTTTGAAATAAAATAAAATATTTCTTCAATATTTACTGATTTTCAATTTATCCCCCACCCCCACCCACTCTCCCCATCCCCTTAAACAAATAGATTGTAAAAATAAGAGATAAACGATAGATAAACTTCTTTCAATTGAACATGAAACTATTGTTACTAGGTACAGTAACACGTGAATAACAATATTTTAAATGGGGGAGGGGGAGAGAGGGAGCAAGAAAAAGAGGGAGAGAAAGCCAATTAATTCAATTAATGTATATTAGATTATTAGTGCATAGATTTATTGCATAGATAAGTAGTAGTTTTCTTTATTTATTCAAAAGTATAAATAAATAAATAAAAAGAAGAAGAAAAAAGAAATTTGATTATTGATTCTTTATTACATAATGAAACTATAATGAACAATAGTTAACTTGGAAATAAACTAAGTTCAATTCACTTGATATTATTTAGCTTGTATCTTCCCATTGAGGTTTAAGACTGCAATTGATCAGTCTGTTATTGGTATATGTGCATACTGTGTGTACTGCCTCGATATTCAATGTTTATAATATTCATGTATTGCATAAGAGAAATGTGTATTATACTATTTGATCAATCAAAATAGGTTATTATTTGCCTAGTTTACCAGTTATATAATATACCCTTATAGGTTAGGATAATTTGACATTGATTTTCAAGGGAACCAGATATCATCCAGGATTAAAATCTATAAGTCTAGTATTCAGTATTTATTAAATCTTACCGATCAATTTCTATTATGATAATCAAGTTAAATAGCTAATATATTATAGTCTAATTTGATTACTACATAGTTGATAGAATGCTGCTTACTTACTTACTTACTTACGCCTATTACTCCTAATGGAGCATAGGCCGCTGACTAGTATCATACAACCAACTCTGTACTCGGCCTTCTTTTCTAGTTCCATCCAATTCTTATTCATTCTTTTCATGTCTGTTCTTCGGTCTTCCTCTTTTCCTTTGGCCTTGGGGATTCCATGTGAGGGCTTGCCTTGCGACGTAGTCGGGTGCTTTCCTCAGTGTGTGTCCTATCCACTTTCAGTGCTTCTTCCTGATTTCTTCACCCACTGGGATCTGGTTTTTTCTTTCCCACAGTTGGTTGTTGCTAATAGTGTCCGGCCAACGGATCCGAAGTATTCTACTTGGACAGCTGTTAATAAACATTCGTATCCTCTGGATGATAGCTTTCGTAGTTTTCCAGGTTTCCGCCTCATACAGTAGAACTGTCTTTACATTTTTATTGAAAGTTCTGACTTTGGTGTTGGTTGATAGTTGTTTTGAGTCCTAGATGTTTTTCAGTTGTAAATATGCTGCTCTTGCTTTGCCGATCCGCGCTTTCACATCTGCATCAGATCCACCGTGTTCATCAATGATGATGTCCAGATATGTAAAGGTTTTTACATCTTCCAAATCTTCGTCAATTGTCATTGGATTGTTGCATGCTATGTCGTATCAGAGAATCTTACTTTTTGTATATTGAGACATACTGCTGCTGAAACTGGTGCTACACTGGTCGTTTTCTCCTTCATTTTTTGTTGCGTTTGGGATAGAAGGGCCAGATTGTCTGCGAAGTTTAGATCGTCCAGCTGCATCTTTCATGTCCACTGTATCTCGTGTTTGATAGAATGTACTAGATAAGAAAAAGTATTTCAGTATGAAGTATATAAAGAAATATGACTTTGAATAAGTTAAAGTACTATACATGAACTCACATTTTTATATTACATGACCATGTGTGTACAGATACTGTTAAGGACTTTCTACTGACTAACTTCTCACACTAGGGGTGTTGTTTACGAAATTAAAAGCAATAAAAGCAAATGTTCGGCTATTTAACCGAGTTGTTAGACACGGAGGGTCCATCTTAAGGAGTTAGAAAACTTTCATTTCAAACTAATGGTGTACATGAGCTTCAGGATCTTAAAGGAACAAATAGCGTATGAATCTATTGTTGATCACCGGCTACCATAAGACTACATCTGTTGATGTTGCTTCATCACTTTATAGATCAAACCTGTAGGTCGAAGGTTCGAGGTAACCCCCCTAAAAAAACCCATCTGCATTGGTTCAGATATTTGGGAAATATCTCAGCCCACATACAAATCAAGGGACTTGTGTGGTGTATATGTATTCGGTGCCCCGTTCTATCAGTATTTATGTGTTCAGACAAATAAATAGATTTTTATTATTCATATAGATATTCCCTAATGTATATTGCATTTTCAAATGATTTTCATTGTAAAATATATGAGATTTTAATCATGACTATCGATACTATTATTATGTTAATATACATATAGATGTAGACAGCGGTGGTAATGTACACGGACCAATGGATCAACGACATACTGCACGATTAGGAAATATTAGTCGTAGTGGTCAATTCATTCCTGGATCACGTTATTATCTTGGTGATAATATAACAAGTGAACGGTTTAAACGACGTCAATCTGATAGTGGTGCATGGGATTCTCGTTCAGAAAGTAAGTAGTTATATCAAATGGTATAACATTCAGAAAATATATTTTAGAATTCTAAATTATAATGCTATTCATTGTGAAGAAGTAGCTTTCATTTTGTGAGAATCTTATGACATCATCTATTCAAAAAGCTTTACAATTTCTTATTCCTGATATTCATAACTGAAGTCATGGATCCTTAATTGTATATAAGGTCTATAAATAGTTATCATAATAGTGAAGATTTGTAACTCAGCTGGATGATTTCGGTGGAGTATTGTTCTCTGAGCTGGATGGTTTGCTCGTGAAGCTTTCATTGTTCCTCTGAACGACATTATCAGCACAAACTTCAGATAGAAGTTAAGTGTTCGAATTTCTCCATATGTGTTTCACAGCCTGTTCTATGCACCTCGATGTTGATTGGTTTTTATTGACCTTTATAGCGAATCCAAATTTTTGGCTTGATCACTGGTATTATCGCTGCTTCTAGTCTTTGCATCACTGCCTCTGCGATCAGTCCTGATATTGGTGATCCCATTGGTATCCCTTTCTTTTGTTCGTAGATTTTGTTGTTGAATTGAAAATATGTTGTTAGGCATAAATCGATGGCTTCCAGTAGACTTTGAATTTGATGCTTCGTGTATTTAGTGAGATTTATGTCGTTGTTGAGCAGCGGGGATAAGAACCAATCAACATTGAGGTGCACAGAACAAGCTGTGAAACACATATGAAGAAATTCGAACACTTCACTTCTATCTGAAGTTTGTGCTGATGATATCGTTCAGAAGAACGACGAAAGCTCCACGACCAAACCATCTAGCTCAGAGAACGAAACTCCACCAATATCATCATGGTCTCTTCGATTTCAATATGAAATATATCATTTTTTGTATAAGGCTCTAATCCCATTTAAAATATAGACTTCATTCAATTAGAGATTTCTTCAATAATGCTAGCCTTATTTATATGGTTGTTTCAATGATGACTTGAACCTAGTGTCAATCACTATGATCAGCGGTACTTTACTGTAAAGACGTATGAATTAGTATATTCATTTTATTTCAAAAATCCAATAAATTTTTATTTGATTGAGATTATACATCGATTAATGTTAGAGCATCATTGAAAACTTGGAAGTATTGGATGGCTGTTTCGTCCTATTATGAAACTCCTTAACATTAAGCATCCACGATCACAGTCTAATATCGATCAAGTCATGATCTCAGTCAATAACTTATCTTGTTTAAATCAATGGTCTGTGACTTTATATTACTAATGTTGTGTTCTAATTCCTTGTTTAACTCATTCTTATAGTGGCTAATATAAAACTATCATTATAAGTCTGATCAAACAGAAGCTGTGAATACATAACACATTTTAGTATGTTAAACTTATAGGAGATTTAATCGTGGAATTCATGAATCGATTAAAGTTAGACTATCATGATAAACCAGGGAGTACTAGACGATCGTTTCGTCCTTGCACGGGACTCCTCAGCGCTGCTGATTATGAAGCAAATAACCATGATCTTTTTTTAATCTTTCAGATAAATTGAAAAAATGAGTTACAACTTATCAGTACAATAGTCACAGTACCTAATCAATAGGGTTAGCATGTTAATTATTGATATATGAATATGTACTATGGAATATCATGTTACGTAATTAGTGTTAGTAGTATATATTAAGTTCAATGAATGAATACTAACTAGTATGTAAATAAAAACATGTTATCAACCTATGAAATCATTTAACTATTGAATTACATCATGTTAAGAGATGTCAAGTACCGAGTCAGTCATATACAACATAGGTCATAGCATGAATGTGGATCCATTCACATTTCTATCTGAAGTTTGTGCTGATGATGTCGTTCAGAAGAACGATAAAAGCTCCACGACTAAACCATCCAGCTCAGAGAATAAAACTCTACCAAGATCATCCACCTGAGCTACAAATCTTCTCCATCATCTCAACATTTCAACACTATACCACTACAAAGGAATGCGGGATTGATAGAAACTGTATATGTATCAATGGTAATCATTATCCATCTTTACTTTCCACATAGTTGTTTAAATTATCATTTGATGAAACTAAATGTATCATGTATTGAATTCATTCATTCATTCATATCTATTTTCTTTAGTTCATAATCATCATGTTCATAATGCATTTCGTAGTCGTACTTATTCTGAAACTAGACGTTTAAATGAATACTCTGATAATTCAATATCTACACGTTATCATAATCAATCAAATCAACAACCATATTATAAGACAACTGCATCACATAATATATCAAATCATTCACCATCACATACACATATATCACGTTGGTCATCAATGCAAACAACTGGTACACAAGGTTTATGGAGAGGAACAAGTGGTGGACGATATGCTACTACTTTAACAAGACAACATATTAAAAAACATCATGATCCAATTGAAATGGTAGTTAAGCATACAGTAAGTTTAAATGATTTTTATAATTGACTTATATGTGTAGTATGTTTGCTCAACAATTGGAGCTAGAGCACTATGGGAAATGTGGAAGCACTAACCAGCCGTTTCATCCTATTTTGTTACTACCTCAGCAATGCGCATCCACGATCCCGCCTTGAGAGATTCGAACCCAAGAACCTATCGATCTCGTACTTAACGGTATTAATGTTTAACTCCACGAAACTGAGTGACACATCCACCATTATCTTCAGTATGTTACTATCTCACAACAGACCCGGCTGAACTCCACTGGTCACTACTTCTCACTAGAACTCCAGGAAATACCTCTTGGAGACCGTCACTATTGATCATATGATGATTATAATTAGAGAGGGATTTTATGGATAATATAGTAATTTAATAGTTGAACTCATCAGTCAATTGAAGCTAGACCATAATGGAAAACCTTGAAGCACCAGACGGCCGTTTCGTCCTAGCATGGGACTCCTTAGCAATGATTATTATTATAACGGAACAAATATGCTTAAAGTTGAGTAAGGGTAGGATGTAATAAAACCAAGGTTGGTCAAGCTATAATGCGACATTAATCCATGAAATCATTTATAATTAAATTGAATCATTTTAACAAATGTAGACTACCTTGTTGGGTTCCACATGATCATAGCGCACGTGTATCCGCTACTTGTTTGTTATTATATTCTAACTTACCAAAACTCTTCATAAATCGATTTTATTATTTGATTGACGTATGTAGTCTCTGACTGTATTTTAGATGCCAAATACTTTCTATTACCATGAATTCTGTTACTATCTATACTACTATGAGATTTACCTCAAACAGTTTCATCTGTTTATGTTAATGAGCTATGACAACTTGAACTGATGTAAATACATACCAAGTTTTGCGTTGCAATTGAATAAGTGACATTACTAATTAGTTATTATTATAACGGAACCAATATTACAAAAGTTGGAACTGGTTTTTTCACTTACCTACAGTCTTCTTTAGTCATAGAAACTCTTAGTTTATTCATGTATAATTGTAAATTATTTATTATTATATGACGTAATGCTGTCCAACATTTCCGTATCTAAGTTACGTCTATTTGAAATATAAATATAATAGAAGGTGAGGTTATTTGGTGAATGGTGATTACATAGTTGGGGGTCAGTATAAAAATTTCACTGGTTGTAATTATGAGTTAATTGAAGTTAGACCACTATGGAAAACCTGGACGACCGTTTCGTCCTATTGTGGGACTCCTCAGCAGTGCGCATCCACGATCCTGCTCCCCGCGAGATTTGAATCCAGGACCTACTAGTCTCGCACACAAGCGCTTAACCATTAGACCACTTAGCCGGTCGGCATCCAACGGTGTTATTGTCTAACTTCAACCAATCCACTGATATCAGTTTATGATGAAAATCCTAAATCTAATTTCTATCCGTTAACTATAAATAAATAACCCTTATTTAAGCCCCAGTAAGTAGGTGGACAGTCTCAAGGTTCCTTTAATGTCACTCAAAGGTCATCCATTCATTATAGTTTCCCTATACTGTTCTTTTATGAAGTAACATTAGATGAATATAAAGTAGAGGTTTGGCAATACGAATACTTCAAACAATTGAGTTGATTTTATGATATAATCTGAATACTCATCATTTCAAATCATCAACTTTATAAGCTTCAATAGCCTATTATTTAATCAGAAGTATCAACTACAATCTTGTATGCAATGATAGATAGTGGCTAGCAGTGGAATCCAGGACGCACGTTTCGTCCTATTTGGGACTCGTCAGCTGGATGCACCTGCACCTCAGAGTTGATGTTCATCCTGGAAGTCAAACCCAGTACTATTCGCCTCATAAACTATCACAGGTACATCCAGATGACAAGTCCCAAATAGAACGAAACGCGCGTCAAACTGGATTCCACTGTTAGCCACTATCCATCATTGTTAACAAAAAGCTTGTGAATTATGACAATATCGAGACAATACACACCGTATGGACATATGCCAATAACAGACTGATCAATTGCAGTGTTAAACCTCAATAGGAAGATACAAGTACAAAACAATATCAAGTGAATTTACAATCTTGTACTTTTTTTTTCTTTTAAATCTTTATAAAGCCATCAGCTGGTGCATCAAGAGTAGATTTACTTTCAGTAGATAATCGTCAAGGTAGTTTACCACATTTAGCCGCTTATTCAATACATAATACAGCAGGAATAACTGAACGTGAACAAAAATTACAAAATGAATTATTAAATACACAACGTGAATTACAACAATTAAAACGATCAAGAAGTTTAACTGGTGATCAAAATTTAACTCATTCAACTACATTAAAACAAACATTAAAATCAGGTTCTAGTCAATATTTAAATGATGGATTTTGGACAACGTATAGTTTAAAAAAGTAAGTTACTATCATTTATTGATTGATTTATTTGAACACAAGTCATTTCGGTTATGATATTGACCGGGTGTCTAGATCGAAAGAGGTCAATCCCTGAGTCACCAACTTAAAGGAGTGATTCACAAGGAAGTGGGGCAACATTATGAGATGTAATCCCATTATAGCCGGTGACCAACAATTAGTTCATACGTCATTTGTTCCTTCAGGGTACTGGAGCCTATGTGCACCATTGGTTTGGAATGAGGGTTTTCCAACTTCCCTATATGGATCCTACATATCCATCAAACCCGTTAAAGCATCTGCCGGACATTTGCTTTTCATTTTCTCAATTTTGTAAACAACACCCATGGTACTAGAAGGGAGTGAGTACGACTTCCCTGACAGTGACTGTATACACGTGGCTATATGAGAGTATTTACAGATAGAGATCTGACTCTCCTCACTCTCGGCGTACCAGAGTATTTGAGGTCAAGTTACTATAAACATATTTATGGGTTACTGTTTATAATAAAGTAGATTGTATAATTAAACAAAACAGATAATGAAAATATACGGTTAAACAGCATAATGAAATGATAAAGTAGATAGGGTATTAGCTAATTAAATAGAAGAGTGTATAGAAAAATCTCCAGTATAGGAGTTGTCGAGATTAATAAATTTTTAGTTGAAATCATGAACCGATTGATGTTAGACCACTGTTGGAAATCTGGAAGCACTGGACGGCCGTTTCTTCCTATTGTGAGACTTCTCAGCCGTCATGTTCTTCCAGATTTCCAACGGCGGTCTAACATCAATGGGTTCATGATCTCAATCAGGAAGAATTTCTTTGAGTGTGAATAGTTATATTTCTATAGTTTTAAGCTCGTCCCTTATAAAAGAAATCTGATCAGATTTCTTACAAACAGAACAAAAACGATCCGATCAGAGGATACCATAATGAATGAGTTGAAGTTTACTAATGGGATGTTGACGAATATGTATTACTATTAAAGCTTTTTAATGAAGCATATATGTACAAAGAGGGAAAAAAGGTACTGGTGATATAGTTCCCTCACATGAAATCTCCTCTCTTCAAACTACGATTTCAACAGGGATGTAACTACCAATGTCCTGTATCATAAATTATTGATAGTAGTTGAAAGGATAATTTTACATAGTTAACCTTCAGTCGATATTTTCGAATCGACCAATAATATCTATTCAAACAATGAATAAGTTACTTGAGTTTACTTCCTATGTGTATCTACACATTCAGCTGTTCTTGCGGAGATAGCTATATTGGGCATACTATCAGGCAACTTAACCAAATATATATATATATATATATATATATATATATATATATATATATATCGACTAGAAGCTCTCAAATGTTATTTTTTATTGGGATTACTATTACTACTTTACTTACGCCTGTTACTCCTCGTGAAGTTCATTATTGGGATTGGTAAAAATATTGGTATAGCTACTCCTGTGGTGTGTGCTATTGATGTCGACAGATATCAGTAGTATGTATGATCAATAGAAAGTGAAATTCCTGGCAATAGAAGATTAAGAAGATCGACGAGAACAGAATGAGAATAGAAAGTGATTGGTATGAAAATGAATGAACAGTCAAGTCTAAGACAATGGACTAACACTATACTACTAAAATGTGTGTTGTATGATTCTCAGATTTTACTAAGATGTTTTGTAATTTTGTCCTCAGTTGTATGTTTTCATTCACTACACAACTACTGATACAAAACCAAAGTCTAAGATATCTTAACAACTGATTTTTACTATAAAACTACGATATTTATGCTTTTCCCAGTAGAAATATTTAAACTGTAGATAATGTGAATATATCTAAATTGTTATGAATAGATGTTACTTGCTCATTGTTTTAGACAAATTCTACATTCGATAGGTTCCCAGGAAATGAGTTTTACTTACTTACTTAAGCTTGTTACTCCTCGTGAAGGAGCATATGCCGCTCACCAGCATTCTCCATTCAACCCTGTCCTGGGCAATCCTTTCCAGCCCTTTCCACTTCCTATTGATCCTTTTCATATCTGCCTCTATTTCCCGACGTATTTTTTTCTTTGGCCTTCCTCCTTTAAGCTTCCCTTCAGGATGAATTTTAGAAGTGAAAATTCACAGACTATATCAGAGATATTGTTAGTTGATATGCTTGAATGCTATTACGAGTTCATCTTACTCTGTAAACGAAACGAACTTCAAATATACACTGACGCGATAGGCTATTCTAATTCATTGTCCTCGACCCTGCTAACTAGATTAAGAAGTCTTGATGAGGCGTAGAGAATGTATTCTTCAAGCACACAGAAAATACGAGGTCAATAAGCATAGAAATCAAGCTTATTTATACAATGATAGAAATGCCCTTGAGAGAGCCACAAAATAGCGTACTAGAAAAAAGTTCGTCAACCAATGACAGTCAATGATTTCTGAGTGAGAAATGTCAGCTGTAGGTCAACTAAGCGTCTCTTGCCATGAAAACATAAGATTCAAATTCCCAGGATAAAATTACAAAATTAGGACCTTTTTCAAGTGGGTTCTGAGGGTTTAACGTCCTCAACATTAGTAATCTATGTTAAGATAGTGGTTAGAGGTAGTCAATAGGAAACCTTAGACATGGGTTTCGTGCTACTTGGCACTTGTCAGGAAGATGTACCTGTAATCTTGAGGGGACCAATGCTCCCTGACAGATTCGATTCCCTGTCACCCATCTTTACAGTCGATAGGATTCGATATGCACTGAGGAAGACCTGAAAAACGTGACATTGATCACCATTTAGTAATCAATCAATTGTAAATATTGTTAGTAATCATTTTGAACAATAAAATTAGGCTTTTAATCATATTTCTTAATAGTACTGGTAATATAAAAATTACTGGTTGGAAACCAATCTTAACTTCAGTTATTATTAAGTTGTTGTACACTTATTCTAATACACAGATTGAAATCATGAGTCATTTGAAGCTAGACCACTACGGAAAAGCTGGAAGCACTGGACGGCCGTTTCGTCCTAGTATGGGACCCACGAACCCGCCCCCTGTGGGATTCGAACCCAGGACCTGCTGGCTTCGCGCACGAGCACTTAACCATCCGACCACTGAGCCGGCATCCGACGGTGTTAATGTCTTACTTTAACCAATCCACGAAGTTACGCCAGCGAACACCATTGTCTTCAGTGAGCTGATATCTCACAACAGACCTGGTTGAACTCCACTGATGACGGCTTCTCACTAGAACTCCAGGAGGTTCTCCTGAAGTCAGTCACTAGTGAGCAGTTGATTATTATCAGATGGTCATTGGATGATTGTTTTATCCTAATAGGTTATAAACAACAACAACCCATCATAACTACAATCCCAGACTCATAGAAAGAGCTATTTTTTTAGGCTGACGAATCGAGGTGCCGTAGTTTGTATTTAATATTCAGTCAATGGAATGATCATCTTTATTGCCTGATTGATTTGTTTATTAACTTGGTAGTTTTCAGTTTCCTAGAGCAACTTGATGTTCTTTAGTTAGTTTGTAGCTGATAGATAACGATTAGGAAGTGATCTATTATATTTCAACGTTTCCTTCCAACAATTATTTTACTGATCCGACTATTATCAATTATATGAATATGTTTCTTTTTCATGTTACTTTGTTCATAATTTCGAAATGTTTTTGATGGAGATAATGAATAGAGAAATGTTAGACAACCATTGGACAGCCATTTCGTCCTAATATGGGACTCTTCAACAATACGCATCCACAATTCTGCACGCGGGACTCGAACCCGGGACCTTCAGTTCCACGAGCGAACCCTTAACTTCTAGACCATGTTAATGTGTAACTTTAACCTATCCACGAAATTTTTATTGGTGATCTAACATTTATCAATTCATGGTCTCAATCAGTCTCCATAACTCTATACTGATAATTCAATGTTTTCTTATTATTAAAATGAAAAGGAATGAAGGTCAACCATGTGGTGCACGTATTGCAGGTAAGTTATTATATAAACACGATAGTGACTAACACAAATTATTGGGAATAAGAATTTCAAAAACCAAAACAACAGAATCTAATCTGATATTATCAGTTGACAGAATAAAATAGTTGAGATCATGAATCAATTGAAGCTAGACCACTATGGAAAACCTGGAAGCACTGGAAGACCGTTTCGTCCTAGTGTGGAACTCCTCAGCAGTGCGCATCGTGGTTAGTACAAAACGGCCGTCCAGATTTTCCGTAGTGGTTTAGTTTCAATTGACTCATGATCTCAACTATTGAAATTACTACAATCTCCACAAAAATCCCTTCTGTTACTAAAGAATAAACAGACAATAAACATTGCATGGTTCGTTTATTTTTCAACCTTGATTTTAGCATGTTGCATTTCTAATGTCAAGGTTAATAATTATCCATTGTTGTTGTGCGTTTTTTTATATTTTAATTTTTCTGAACTATTTCATTTGTGCATAATTTATTGATAGACATATATGTGTATGCATGTAGTAACTAACTGGCAATGTTTAAGATGTTTACGTAAACAAGGGTACGTGTTCGCTCTCTCTCTCCCTCTCGCTCTCTCTTGCTTTCTTTTCGATTTCTTCGAGCCAAATGGTATTATATAGGTCAATATTTCATTTGGATAAATCAATGCATATTTATCACATTAACAATAAATCAACAAAGTCAATCAGCAATATTCTTGGTATTTTCTATACAGTATAATGAAAACAGTAAGTGTTACAATATTTTTGTAATCTATAATTGAGGTATGTTTCTATTGTGTGTGTGTGCATGTGTGTATGCGTGTGTGTATGCGTGTGTGTGTGTGTGGATGGTTGGATACGTGGGTGTTGGTTGATATATATTCTAATGTTTATGTAATTAAGGGCCCAGTAAAGATACGAATTAACTAAATAATCGAAATCAATTTGATGGAATGTAACCATCGCTCTTTTTTCTTTTTTTTTTTTCAAAAATTTCATTCTTTTCATCAAGTATCATTGCCAAAATCTTCTTTTCTCTCTCTCTCTCTCGCTTTCACTAATATACCATCTAAATGACACTATAAAAAAGAAGAGTAAAAGAAAATAAAGAAATTCCAAGTTTTCTGTTATTTTGAACTTTACTCATCAATAAATAATGATTTCAATAGTTGAGATCGTGAGTCGATTAAAGTTAGACCACTATAGAAAAGCTAGACAGTCGTTTCGTCCTAGTGTGGGACTTCTCACCAGTGTGCATCCATGATTCTACCTCGAGGGATCCGACCGCAGGACCTATCAGTCTCTCGCGCAAGCGCTTAGTCTCTAGACCAATGAGCAGGTATTCAATAGTGTTAAAGTTTAACTTCAACTAATCCAAGAAATTGAGCGACACATCCACCATGGACTCATTATCTCAACTCTTAAAATTATTACAATCTATACAAAATGCCCTTCTGATAAAAATAAGTAATCAGTCAAATTTATTGAAATAAGTAGTTACTTGTGGATGCAGTTTAGATCATAAACTAATCATTGCTGGATTACAATTGAAAACTTTAAAACACTGGATGGTTGTTTCATCCTAATGTGCGAATGAACAACAACCTTACCACAGGAAGTCGAACCCAGAACTTTCAACCTCTTGTGATCATTCATCTCAAATAATTTCTAATTTAAGTAAATAAGTAATAGAAGTTATTGAGATTTCCTAGTAGCTCGAAACTATTAGTTCGTACATTCAATTCTGATCTCCTATAGTATTAGTAGTAAATTTTGTTTAAGACATGGAAAACATCCACCGTTAGATTTCGGCTCAATGGTTCAGTAGTTAAAGGGTTAGAGAGTAAGATCGAAGGTTCCCGGTTCGACTCCCTGTATCGTGGTCATGGATGTGTACAAAAACGATCATCTAGTGCTTCTAGGTTTTAAGTTTTGTGATTAAGATCTTGAACTGATTGATGTTAGACCAAAATTGAAAACCTGGAAGCACTAGACAGCCGTTTTGTCCTATTGTGCAACTCTTCAGCAGTGCGCATCCACGATCCCGTATTGTGGGATCGGAACCCAATGCCTTCTGTCTCACCCACAGACTTTAACTTATGGACCACTGAGTTGGTATCTAGTGTTGTTAATTTCTGACCTCAATCAATCCACGAGATTGTGCGACCATCTTCCATTGTACTGAGGTAGATACCTGTCTCTACCCGACACGGATTAGTTCCATTGGTTATATCTTCTAACTAGAACTTCGAGAATTCCTTCAAGAGTGTAGTTAGTTTTGATCTAACAAAGATCACTTGATAATCTGAGGTATGAAAATTAAATAGACTGTTGAAATACAACCTTTTTAACTTTGAACGAAACAGTTATCCTTTGTATTCAAGTGTCAAATAGTTATCTACCTTAAACCGGTTTGTGATATCAGTAAAATGGAATAATCGCTACAATCCTATATTGGTAATTAAAACTGTTGCTATAGTGTTATTTATTATGTGATACTCTGTTTTAATTTGATTAGCAATATCATTTTATCTATGCTCTATGCCAAGACTATTACATCACGTCAAGTAATTCATCATCTATATATAAATATATCTGAATCATCGTATTCACAAGGTAATTGACAACGTATAATGAATTGGAATTTATAATATCACATGGTATCTTATTCACAAAAGCGTATACACGTCCCGTAAATATAATTCTATTGTGATTAAATAATACGATTTGATTTATTTATTCTGGTTACCGTTTTCCAGCAAAGTTGTTTTCCACGGGATGTGGTTACCAACCCTATACCCAATCTTCTTCCTTTACCCGGGCTTGATACCGGCAGTAGCCCTAGAAGAGCTTCGGGATGATTGGAGGATCTGATGCAGACGTAAAGGCGAGAATTGACTAGGCAACGATATCATTCCTACAACTGAAAAATATATGCAACTTAAAACAAATGTCTGTTAAAAATTATCATTATCACATTCTTCAATACGAACGTCAACATAGTTTTACTGTGTGGAGCAGGGACTTCGAGAAATACCACAACCATCACTAAAGAAATACAAGTATTTATAGACAATTGTCTACACAAGATACTAGATATCCGTTGACCGGATACCATCAACAGCAGCGTACTATGTGAAAGAACAAACCAACTTCATATGAAGAGAAAATTGGGAAAAGATGTTGGAAGTGGGATAGGACATACATTGAGGAAATCATCAAACTGGACTACGAAGCAAGCGTTAACTTTAAATCCTGAAGGCCAAATGAAAAGAGACCAAAGGACACACTTCGTCAAGCCGTGGAAACAGACATGTAAAGAAGGAATATCAACTGGAAGGGAATAACCAGAACAGAATTGGATGAAGAATGGTGGTGAGCGGCCTATGATCCTTCATGAGGGGTAACATGCATAATTAAGTAAGTAAATAATACAATGTGTAAACTTCTTCATTTTTAATAGTGACAATATGTGTACAAGGATCTTTTAATGTAAATAATCCAGATATTGATAAGATACTATTAATCATATCAATCAGAAAATCAATAAAAATCTAATTTCGACGGAAAATAATTCAACAATGAATCTCGTTGAATGAGATATAAGATTTTCATTCAATGACATTGCTATCTATCTATCTATCTACCTACCTACCTACCTACCTGTCTATCTATCTATCTATCTATCTATCTATCTATCTATCTATCTATCTATCTATCTACACATCTATCTCTAAATACCTCCTGTTCACTCAATCGATAAATCCGTTATTAATTTGCATTTTTGTTGTTACCTGGCAATGAATGTAAACAACCTTTTTCATGTATATCAATTTACAGACTATTAGTATTACTACTATTAATCAAAAAGTTTAATGTCACCAAGGCATTGTGTAATCCGCATAAAGTAGTCGAATCGATTTGTTGATGAATGAATTGATTAAATTTAAGAATCATATGAATGAGACTTTTTATGTCATCAAATGGTAGAAATGAACATGGTTTGTTTATAAACAAGACACAATTAAACATTGAATATATAGACATATATATATATTCATATTCGCGCTTTAATATATAAGGTCAAAGTGAAAGAGAAAAAAACCCGCTAAAAGATTGGGACAAATGAACTGTTTCATTATGTTCCCATAGTATTGTTTACTTGAATCTTCACATTGATTTTTAGGACTGCCTGAATTCACAAGCAGGACATTGGGCACTTAAAACACCATAGGATGATCAAATCAGTAGTATGTCTTGAGCAAGTCTAAACATTTATAGGTAACATATAGACAATTATAACCGATTAGACTTCGCAGATAACTTAGCCCTCCGATCCTATGCACATGAACAAATGTAGATGAAGACAACTAGTGTAGCATCAGCCTCCGTATCAGTAGGCCTCAAAGGAAAAACTAAGATCCTTAAATACAACATGGAGAACACCAACCCAATCACAATTGATAGAGAAGCGTTTGAGAGATTTCAAGGTCATGGCGGCGACGTCAGTGCTTAATGCTAACGTACGATCGGTTCACAGGGAATTTCGTACAAAACTTGATAAATGAGCGGCTATAACAAATAAAACGGCGAGACTATAATTTGAGGACGAAGCAATCAGGTATAAGACAACAGAAATACTACAACCATCATCAAAACAGTACAAGTATTTATAAATAGTTGTCAACACTAGATACTCAACATCCATTGGCCGGATACCATCAGTAACAGTCTTCTGTGGGAGAGGACAAATCAATTTCTAGATGAAGAAGAAATTAGGAAAAGACCTTGACAATGGATAGGACATACATTACGGAAATCACTAAACTATATCAAAAGGCAAGTATTGAAATGGAATCCTGAATGGAAGAGGAAAAGAGGAAAGCTAAAGAACACAATACATCGGGAAATAGAATTAGATATGAAAAAGATGAATAACCACTGGAAAGGATTGTTTAGGATAAGGTTCGATGAAGAATGCTGGTAAGCGGTGTATACTCGTTCATGAGAAGTAACAGGCTTAATGTTCAATTAATGTTTAAACTGAATTTCATCAACATTATTGATTTATTAGTGCAAATTACTTTTGATTAATCAATAATAAATGTGATTGTAACAACTATTTGTAGGTGTAATGTAAAGTACTAATCCTAAACTATTAATACTGACGAAAATTGTTAGAATAAGTTTCTTTTTTGTTGTTGTTGTTGTTGTAGAGAAAACAGATGAATGACACCTTTTGTATAAGTGTGCGTGTATATATGTATACGTGTATACGTGTGCGTGTGTGCGCTAGGTAACTTCACCACTATTTAAAAGTACATTGTACTCTTTATGTTGTTCGATTAGTTACTTAATGATACTGAATAGAACTCACATGATTACTACTAAGTAATAGAAGAGATTTTAAAAAAAAAATTCGGGACAAACATACATATAGAATTTTAGTCCTAATAACCAATTAGAATTATGATTGTGTGTGTGTGTATTTGTGAAGACCCGAAAACACAAAAAAAGAACATACAACTATGAGTTCAAGATTATCAATACCAATAAGCTGACGTTTATGAAGTATATAGATCATTATAGACCTATAACATCATCTGATGATCATAGATACTAAATTCTTTTTTTTGTGTGTTTGTGCTTCTATGTGTATATAGAGTGTAGTTAGATAGATCTATCTGTATGTGTGTATGTATGTGTATGGTGTATGTTGTATCTACGCCTATTCATTTGATCTTATTATTGAACCTAAATATATTATCACTTGATACAACAATGACATACATTAACTCTTCTTGGATTATCAAATACTACTTATTATTATTATTATAGAAATAGAATTCATTTCATTTCATCAACTTTATGATAGTTAACCATTGTGGATTACGTAACAGATATCTATCTATATATCACTTCTTTCTAAATCTTTATTCTATTTACAGCATCAATTTTTGCTACTGTACAACTGTACTACTGTAAACATGACAATTAGTAACTATGCCAATGTATGTAGATGTAAAAAATGTATAGAAATGTATTACTGATCATGTATATCACAATAACAATAATAATAATGATGAATTCTTTTATTCAGAATGAATGACAAGTATTAGTATCATTACCATTGAATGAATAATTAAATATACATCTCTCTCTATATCTATCTATCTATCTCTATATATATCTACATCTATATAGTGAATGGCTAGTCAAGCAAATAGAATGGAAAGTAAATTATATACAAGTCATTTAATGAATTCATCAACAACACCATTGTTCAATTCAACTCATCCTAGAATTGTATCATCAAAAGATATTGGAAATAATGATATAAATGATAATACTATTGAAACATATACTAAACGTACTATTCATAGTAATGAATTAGAATCTAGATTATCACCAATAATAACAAATAGACAATCAAATGAATTCATGATGAAATCTACAGAACCATCATCACCAATTGTGGATTATTTATTATATGATGCACCAGCATGGATGAGACAATCTAAAATAAAAAATCATAAAGTAATTAATAGTAGTATGAATAGTAGTTCGACAATATCTTCTAATATTATAACAACAACAACAGTGACAGGGACAGCAGCAGGAGCAGCTGCAGCCACAGCGAGAACATCAATAGTGACAACAATATCACCATCATCTAATGTAACTCATATTGTAAATGATACAAAACCTAATACAGATAATGTTACAATTATGCATAAGGAGAATGTAAAAAATATGAATTCTGGTAGTCGAATAACAATACAATCCGATTTAAGTAATAATAATAATAATAATAATAATAATAATGATCATTTTATACGATCAACAAGTCCTCGATCGAATGGATCATTTCGATTTGTAAAATCTGGATCACGTAAATTTTCAGGTAAGGTAAATAATAGTAAACATTCTTGTTAAATTTTGAATTGAGATCATGAATTGATGGATGTTAGATCACTATTGAGAAGTTGAAATTACTGGAAAGTGGTTTTGTTCTAGTATGAGACTCCTCAGTAGTACGCATTCACTATTAAGTGTGAAAATACTACAATCTTTATAAATCCCCATTTTAATAATAATAATCATGCACTTACTAGTCACTAGGTTCAAGATGGATTTCTTAAAGTTCTAGTTAGAAGTCATGACCAGTAGAGTTTAATTTGTACCGGTTAGAGACAGTTATCTACCCCAGACAATAGATGAGAGGTTGTGCAAGATTATGGATTGATTGAAGTTACAAATTAACACAGTTGAATACCGGTTCAGTGGATAAGAGGTTAAGTCTTCGCCTGTGAGACTGAAGGTCTTAATTTTGAATCATGGATGTGCACTTCTAAGGAGTCCCATATTAAGACGAAACGGTTGTCTCGTGCTTCCAAGTTTCCAATGATGGCTCACTTTAGATCGACTAGTGAATTCAACCTTACGATATACATTTAATCACAATGTTGATCGAAGGCAAACTTATTTTTTGAATTAGAGACTGATTATTTTAGTTAAATGTTATTCTTATTAATATGTATTACTCACCATTATGGTTTCTGCATTGGAAGTTTAAGGTATCTTTTTCTCATGGTAATACGTTAGAGTCATTGTATATTAGGTGAGTTATTGAATATCGAAGTAGGTTAGATACTAGAAACAAATGGTTAAAATATGTGAATAGTAACGATGGCAAATAGTTCAGTGATTTAGTCAGTACTCTGAAGTTCTAACAATTTAACTACATTTTCACCACCACCCATTTTTGTGTATCCCTACTGTGTTGATTCGTATGCTTAAGATAGTGCAGAATATTTGTGATTAAGGTTGGATGATTTTAGTGAAGTGAAGTTCAATGAGCTAGATTGTTTGCTTGGTTATGAAGTTTTCGATGTTCAAAAGAACCAAGAACACTTCATGAATGTTTCATCGCAGTGAACAAAACTCGACCAAAATGATTCGTATAAATTCTTGCTCATTCTTTATTATGTAAGGAAACAAGACATGACTACAGTAGAATTTATGGATTGAATATATTTGTCTATGGAAATAGATATCATGGTAACGGTATAGTGAATGAACACTAAGGTGGGGGAAACTAAATTACTGTTTCATGCATTATCACACAGTAATTTAGTAAAATGTGAAAATCTTACATTAAATACATCATTTGAATATCTCCTGTGATGTTGTTTTTTAAGCTTCACCTTTCCTACATTCCTGTCGTTATCTGGATTGCTTTCAGTTTCCTCATCTCTTCTCTTCATTTTAATCTTCTCAACTTTCTGCTCGACTTCCGACCGATGTTACATACTACTTATATCTGCAAATTTAAGTAGTATACACCCCATAATGGGATCGTTTGTGAACATTTGAAAATGAATGTCACTGTTTAAAAACTTGTGTTTACTTTTCTTAACATATTTATAATTATAACTTCTCAACAGAGCACACAGTATTGGACTATGGCCACATTCCCGATGAATCGATATAATTCGATTTATGTTAATTCACATTAGTTTATGCCCAAATATTTCTTTTGGAACCGTATTCAGTGAAGCGAGTATTATTGTGGTGTGTTAGTACTGTGCATGTAAAGGATTCGTATTAGTAAGCCTTCACAGAGTATCTCAAGTCTATATCAAGTCGATAAACCTTACTTAGTAAGAAGCTGGACAAAGTAGACTTAAGCAAATTGATAAATATGAGATTTGGACGAATACACACTATTAGTTAAGATTTGAATTCTTTTTCTGAAGAGACATAAATATACTATGGGTTGAAAATTTGATAAACAGTGGACTCGAAGTCCATCGTTTGCTCGTGAGACCGGAAGTCCAGGGTTCGAGTCTCATGTGAGGGATTGTGGATATGCACTGCTGGGGAGTCCCATACTAGGAGCTAGATATATTAGTATATGGGATTTGCAAAATTTACAGACTTTGAACAATTCAAATCACCGAACTATCTTAGCTAAACCAACATTCACAATCTAGAAGCACTGCGTAGCTGTTTCATCGCAGTATTGGACTCCTCAGCAACACGAATCTACGATCCTGCATGTAGGATTTGAACCCACGACCTATGGTCTCGGGCGCAAACGCTTAAAATTTAGTCTACTGAACCGGTATCAAATAGTGTTCGTCTTTACCTTCATTCAATTTACTATATCTCACAACCCACATCGATCGTCTGCGATAGATAACCATCTGACATCCAACACTACTCGAACTTCAACTTTATAAATGTGTTGTACCGATAATTTTTGCTTGGCTAATCAATAAAAAGCTCTTTACTCAGTCTCGGTTTCCTAATTCAAGTGTATGCTTTTGACAAACATATAGCAAGTGTATATCTTAGTAGAAGCCTCAAACAATAGCTAAACACAACACTTAGATTGTGAATTTAAACACTGTTATATTGCCATAATGTTATTTGACAAGTCAGATTTAAATCATGAACCGACTATAGTTATAAAATCAGGAAGGGCTTTAATGATATTCCGTTGTACAATTGAATTTCTCAGTGGTAGTGTGCATCCACAATTCCATTAGGTTCGGAACCCTAAACCTCCAGGTCTTTCAACTAAACTTTAACTTTAAGGTTACGGAGTTAGGACCCAATGGTTTATAATTACAAGTTCAGGGAATTTACTATATCGCTTAACGATTTTTCAATGCCACTGGTAGGTGACCACTTCACGTTTGAAATTGTTAAGCTCGATTGATCATAATTACTCACCAGAACTCCGTAAGTTACCTTTTGAAACAGGTCACTAATGAACATATAGTTACTACCAATTTACGGATTCGATCCCCAATAGAATTGTAGATGAAAAGTGTTGAGACGTCCATACCAAAGTGAAACATCTGCTTAGTTCTTCACGACCATCAATGGTTGCTTGATTAAGGTTAATCCGTAATGTAAACTTTAAAAATTGAAAATCTCCACAAACTCCGTACACTAGCGTCAAACAATCTTTACTCAGTGAGGCACGTCCACAAAACCATATTAGAATCCACTACAGAATTTTCAATTCTTGTGACGTGTAACATATCTTCACATTATCTACTTGGTTGACGTCACCTATCACACCTTCTTAATGAAACTTTTGGAAATCTAATATCATAATTATTCACTGGCATATATCTATTAATTTATTTATTTAAACACCTAAACATTGATACAATGAGGCAACAAATATATATGCGCCACACAAATTATTCAATATATGTGAGGGCTGCGACACTGCCTGGTTGCCCAAACCAAAGCAGGTGGTTTTCTTAGGTGGGGGGGGGCACACCCAGAGCCTTTGACCTCAAGGTCCGATCCACAAGGTAGTGGAGCATCATAAGGAGATGCATTACCATGGTAACCGGTGACCAACGATTAATTCATACTCCATTTGTTCCTTCAGAGTACTGGAGTCCATAATCACCATTGGTTTGGAATCAAGGTATTCCAACTGGTCAAATCCGGTCAAATCGCCGGACATTCCCTTTTCGTCCTCTCAATTTCGTAAACAACACCCGTGGTGCGAGAAGGAAGTGAGTAGGACTTCCCTTTGGAGTGATTGTATGCACGTGGTCATGTGAGAGCATTTCTAGAGGAAGAGTTGATTCTCCTCACTCTCGGCCGTACCACGATTTTGCGTGTGATTTTCGAGCAGGGGCCATGCTAATTTTCTCTGTATTGTCCCAATTTCAGTATATGTAGCACCGAAGTGAGTAAATGTTTGTGAATGGAGATTCCAATAGGTTCAGCAATATTAAACAGACGAAATCGTAAACCATGGAATTCTTGATCACCATTGCCTGTTCTTTACTCAACCATGGTGGATCATGTTTTGCTATGCGATGACGGACTTCCCGAATTGTACACCTTATATAATTGGCTCCACAGGAATATTTGAACTGATAAATACATATGGATGTGGAGAATTTAGGCAGTTCGTCTTTATTGACGGTTCTCATTATCGAGCACTTATCGAAAACCGCATTCAGTTTGGCTGCGGTAAATGTTTTCTGCACTACATTTCTTGACCTTTGAGTTACAATTTCCTGAGTAGTGTCATTCGGGAATTGCGATTTCAAGAACGGTACTTTCTCCAAAGTGGTAGACATATTCGATCTTCTTTTCATTTCATTTATATGGTCCTTGATAAATTTCATTGGATATATATTTCAACAGTTGAGACCATGAGTCGATTAAAGCTAGACCACCATGGAAAACCTAGAAGCACTGGATGGCCTTTTCGTCCTATTATGGGACTCATCGGAAGTGCGCGTCCACGGCCTCGCCTCACAGGATTCGGACCAGGCGCTTAACCGACTAGACCACTGAGCCGGTATCCAACGGTGTTAACGTCTAACTTCAACTAATCCACGAAATTGAGTAACACATCCACCATTGCCATCAGTTACTACCTCACAACAGACCCGGTTGAACTCCACTGGTCACTGCTTCTCATTAGAACTCCAGGATATATAGTATTCATTGTCAAATCGGTAGTGGACATTTATCGTACATCTAAGAATTAACAGTTTATTACGGATGCGGGAATTAAGGTCTCTATGTACCTCCTTGTTAGTTCATTCCAAGTAAACTCCACTGTTTCCATCAGGGGGATGTTATTGAATAACGACGATACATGTAGTTATTCTCGACTGACAGATTATTTATGTTCTCAATGATGTTGCTTTATTATGATAGATTGAATTATACATATCTAAAACAAAACGAAGGGGTTATCCATCTTTATGTATTTTTGGTTGATCATATAGCTTTGGTGTTATCGTCCCTGTTCTTCTTTTTGTTTTTAAGTTAACTACTCATGAAACTGACATTTATTGATGAGCACTGAAGTCGATATTCATTTATCCCAAGTAAAATAGTGTAGCCTTT